GGGGGGGGGGGGGCAGTCAGCTGTCGCCGCGATACAGATATTCACGACATCTCCGTGGGGGGGGCGGGACCAAACGACTCAGATGAAGTAGCGAACGGCCCAAAACGGATTACGATAGGTAGCAACAATGATGTGCTGAAGTCGCAAGCATTGCAGGGGGCATATCTACCAACTATCAGGTCGCTGAACACTGCCGCCCCGGAAGTCTAGTTGGTATTCTGGAAGACCTTCTAGTGGTCAGGGTGAGGGGTTCGAATCCCGGCGAAAGCGGGCTTTCCTTGCAAAGAGTGCTTTTCTCTCGCTTCCGTTCCTGGCCGGGGTGGAAAGCGCTAGTTCGTGTGAATACAGAGGGGAGAGAGTAATGCACTCTTCTCACATTAAAAATCGAAGGCAAAATACCGCAGGAGGGGTCGGTAGGGAGCCTCAGGGAGAAAAACCCTTCTGTGTGACCACGGGGGTGGAGTAAACCGCACAAATTGAGTGCCTTGATCGCTGATTTGAAGTCAAGGCGAAAAATATAGAATAATAATCAGGTCACGGCGCAGATGGCCTGGTTAGAGCGCATTCGGTTAACAGCAAGGGGAGCACGACCAGCCGCCGTTCCGACTTCTCTCTCCCTCCCTCCCTCTCCCTCTCTCTCCCTCTCTCTCTCTCTCTGTCTCTGTCTCTGTCTCTGTCTCTGTCTCTGTCTCTGTCTCTGTCTCTCTCTCTCTCGCTCGCTCTCTCTATCTTGACTCTCTAACTCTCTGTCTCTCGTTCTCTTTCTCGATCTTTCTGCCTCCCTTCCAAATCCGTTGTCACCTTCCAGCATCATCAGTTGTTTCGGGTTTCCGGCTTACCGTCTCCATGAGGTCCTTCTTGTTAAGGTAGCCGGAGCCCCTGAGGATCGCGGCGATCTGCCGCTGGGCCAAGATGTCGATGTATCGCCGCAGGGGCCCCGTACCGTACCTATAACCAATTAAACATACGACAACACAGGCGGGAAAACATTCGGGAAACATAAAGTTGAAGTTGATGCGCTGTTGAACCACCATGGACCGTAGTGCTATCCTCGACCTACCATACTGTGCACATCATTAGCCCTACACTGCACACATATTCATGGTGGTACTTCCATTTTTCGGCATCGTCCTGTCTGTTCCGAAGGGAGTGCGCGATGAAAAACACACCGAATGGTACGGTAGATGTGCAAGGTCCGCTCATTGAGGTCATCGACAGCTGTGAACGCCAACAATCCTGGTTGTCGATCATCGTTTCTTGTCATGGCCGGAGAGTAGCTGGGATGAAGAAAACACCAAACCCAAGAGAGGACACACAATAATATCATGTTTCATCGTGGCTGAAGAATGTACGGGCGGACAAACAAATCAAAACGAAAAAAAGGAAAGACCCTGTGGCAGGGAATGCCGTAGATGTTAAAAAAGTGCGGTGCATGGAGGCTGCACACACGGCAACAGGGTACAGGGTATACAGCACACAGCTTTTCGCAACCCTAGGGACATCATCATCTCCCTGGTGGGTTCTCATCAGCTACTCATGCATTGTACATATGTGTACGGTTCCAGCTTCAAGCTCCCTTCGGTGTCCACAGAGTTGAACCCCCATGTTCTTGACTGCCGAGTTCTAAAGTGCGGGCATCGCTGTAGTCGGAACAGAGCCAGAAGGCAATGGTAACCTCGCGCTTTGTCAAAACGAGGCTCGGAACGAAAACAAAATAGACTGAAAAAATAATTCTGAACGAGGCCCGGTAGACAGAAACCCGCCGCGTCCACGCCTACCATCATGTCGAACACCATGACAAGGACCTGAGGCCCTGAACAAAGCTATCAACCACCACCACCATCGCCACCACAAGAACAACACGAAATGGGGGTGGCAAAACAAATACGGCGAGTCGTCTAAACAAGAGACAACCACCATAGTCATCACAACAACGACGAACCGAGTTCGACGAGAGACATAACCAGTCGGGCGAATGGGGATCAGACAAGAAGATATCGCTAACCTGGAGCGTCCGGTTGCCACCCGGTCCTGCTGCCCCACGAGCGAGGGCATCGCCACCCCGGCCCTCTTGCACAGGCGGTACACCTCCTGCGTGTACACGGTCAGAAGCTCGTCGACAAGGCTCTGGGCCCTGTCAAGGGTAGACAACACGTGCCAACAATATTAAGTGCAGACAAAAGAAGAGGCCACCCCCGCGAAGGGCAGCAGAGAAACAGGAGGGGAGGGGTGGGGCGATGTCAAGGTGTAGAAGATGCCGTGTTGGTAGATTCAAGCCTTCCTGGCATCGAAGTGTCTTTCTCACGAAGTTTTCCAAACATATGTTGCCGGCTTTTGAGGGTCCCGCACACACGTGAACTTGATGTCTACCCGTTTCCACGCGTGAATCAAGCCTCGCAGGGCTAGAGTATTATTTCACAGAGAGACAGCGGGAACGAAGAGGCGAGAAGAGGGAGAAGGGCCAAGTCGAACATTTGACACCCTTTGATTGGCTCCTTCATGAACCCAGAACATCCTGCTCCTTCTCTGCGAAAGAAAAAAAAAAGGAACGGCATGGAATAATACTTACAGAAGAAAAACTTGACACCGGGATGAAATAAACAAACATGTTTCAAAGCTAGACGCGCGCGCGTATCTTCGCTGCCCCCCCAGACTTGCCTGGAAGCGGCCACTTCCAGCGCCTGCGTCTCCCCGCCGGCCCCCTTGCGGAACTTGACCCCCTCCCTGCCCCGCTCCCTCCGCCCGCTCGCCTCGGCGCTCCGCCTTCCGACGTACTCTAACGCCTGGATCTCCTTCGCTACTCGGGCAAGCCTCCCGTCCCCGGTCTCCCCTTTCTCGGTGGCCTCCAATAACCTGTAATTTCATTATTGAAACGAAATAGATAACCACAAGCACATCAGAGTCAGCCAGTCACACGCGAGCACACCCCTTGAAAAAGCAAAATTATTGTAGTACATATCCACCTGTGAGTTGGACACAATTCGACACACACACACACGTAACCCCCAATTCCTCCGAGTGAAAGAAGCGTTTCGTTTTGCCCAATCCGGTCTAGTTGTTGTTCTGCCGCAACGAACTGTTGCCTTTCACGCGGCCTCAGAGGGCCGGCGACACGAAACGTTGACATTTTGCACCCATGTACAACACACAACAAACAACCTTTGCGGCGAATGGTGCATGCGTGGCTCAGCGGAAACGACATTCATAGGCCCATCCCATCAACACCTACGCAGCAGCAACAGCAACCACCCCGACGACATCAACGACGACATCAACAACAACATCAACGACGACATCAACAACAACATCAATGACGACATCAACAACAACATCAATGACGACATCAACAACAACAACAATAACAACAACAACAACCACATCCAACAGCAAAAACACCACACCCAAAGACGAAGCAGGCACCTGTCGGTCTGGTCGAAGGTGAGGGGCACCGCAGGCGGAAGGGTGGTCAGCATCACCCGGGACGACGCAACCCCCCCCGTCTTGGGGTCTAGCCGGATCCCGACCGTAACCGCCTCGTTCACGCCCTTGTCGCTGAAGGACATGGCCTTCAGGGCCATCGGGGGCATCATGAACAGGGGGCCCTGCGGTAGGTACTCGGACGCTGCTCTCATCCTCGCAACGTCGTCCAGGGTGCTGAAAATGGGTTGGGGGGGGGGGGGGG